TAAGCTACCTTTTTCTTTCTTTAGATCCCTTACTATCACTATTCCCTCTTCCTGTGGGTCTGGAAAACTATACAGGGAGGAAAATAATTCCACAGAATGTTTGTTCCCATTTGACTCAAAAATTTAAAAACCTAATTATATGGTTTATTATAAATCAATCCGGTTTCTGGGTCTACTAGAATACTCCAAGGCAATGTGGGCAGCATCAGATGTGTGCAGAAATTCCCAGGGAGGGCACTTCATCTCTCTTGTTTGCTTTTCTGAAATCTCTTTAGAGAACACAGCCAAGATTTCGTTGCCATTGCAGCTGCTACAAGGCCCCAGATGCAGTCTCCGGCGCCTTGCTGGATTCCAGCCTTCAGGCCCCAGACAGAGAAATCTGATAAAGGTTGTCCTTTAATGGAATCTTGAACATGGAACTGGGCCTGTGCTGGCCTGTAAAATAACTTGGGTGGGCAGATGAGCGTGCTCAGAAAAGCTTCCCATTTTCTACATATTGCTTTAGCATTTTTTCCCTGGTAGTTCCCAGTAGTTTAATCTACTGCAAATGACATCCTAAAAATCAAGGCTCCCCTGCCCCCATATGCTCAACATGGATGTTCAGCGTGCCACCAGATACTAACCTTGAGATTATATTTTATAGGACTAACATTTTTGTAGCCTGGCTGAAAACCTTGAGTGCACTGCTGGTTTTCCCTCATGAGGAGAAGAGTGCTAGCCACATAGCAAATGCTACCGTAGTAATCCTGTGATTAATGTGATGTCATGAGTTTCATTTGATGACCTATACATTAGGAAAAACTACCTTTTTATTGACTTGGTATGTGTTACATATACTTTTCTCTCTACAGGGAAGCTCATCTAAATTATACTCTGGCAGGCAGATCTCACATACATGGCATTCCCCACAGGGACAGTAAGGGCTTGTGTGGGTCCTGTTCCAAAGAGGAGGATTAGCAGAACCGTCAATGCTAAATATCCTCCACAAAGCACATTTACCTGTTACGGTGAAACAAGTGTTCGAGGCCCAAGTCATTTGACTGTTGATAGGTATGCAGTGTTAGCACAATCCAACGTTACTGTCGGCTGTCCCTACACCCAGCACCTGGCCTCGCAGTAAAAATGGGCCTGAACAGAAGGTGTGTTCCACATTCCATCTGCTCAGGATTTTCAATTTCACCTGCCTCGTATCCATAGCTGGAAATGTCCAACTGGACTGTCTTGGATGCGGTTGATGAGGGCGGGGTCCTAAGCATCCCCCACTCTTCTATTTTATTTTATTTTTTTATTGAATGATAACTACGTACATTAATGCACTTCTGGGGTACAGTGTGGGGTTTTCACATGCAATCCAAAATACTTCCACATCCCCCAACTCTTTAAGGAGGTAATGCTTCCTATTTAAACAACCAGATTAATAGTAGCCACCATTTACTAAGGATTACTGTATGCTAGGGCTCTGTGCTAAGTGCTTTACACATACCAGTTCTACACTCTTCACCACATCCCTCGAAGACAGCCACTATTGTTGTCCCCATTTTATAGGCAGGATAATTAGACAAAGAGGTCTGCAAGATGCTCATGGTCTTGCATCTAGCAGGTGGCAGAGCAGATCCATCCTGATTTAGAGCTAGCACTTATCTCTGTGATACTGTGCTGTTTCTCATAAGCTGCTGCTTGGTAGGTTGTCTTGTGAGATGGTGACAGAGGGGAGACAGTGATAGGTCCCCTCATGTTCTCTCTCAGTTCTTCCAGGACCGGCAGTGTGGTTCATGCACAACTCAAACAGCAATTCAGAAGCAACAGCTGAGTAAAGTGGACAGGAAGCCGAGTGATAGAGACTTGTGGCTGAAATATTCATATCTTTTTTTTTTTTTTTTTTTTTTTTGAGACAGAGCCTCAAGCTGTCCCCCTGGGTAGAGTGCCATGGCATTACAGCTCACAGCAACCTCCAACTCCTGGGCTCAAGCGAGTCTCCTGCCTCCGCCTCCCAAGTAGCTGGGACCACAGGCGCCCGCCACAACGCCTGGCTATTTTTTGGTTGCAGCCGTCATTGTTGTTTGGCGGGTCCGGGCTGGGGATTCGAACCCGCCACCTTAGGTGTACGTGGCTGGCGCCTTAGCCGGTTGAGCTATAGGCGCCGAGCCGAAATATTCATATCTTAATTAAATGCCAATATATCCTACCTCCAATGCTGTCTCTAAGAACTGTGATGGATAGAGGCTTTTGGGAAAGAACCTGTTGACTGGGTACAGAGTTGTCCTTTGGAAGTTTATAGGCATATTAATCTTTAGAATGAGACCCTGGCTTTCCCACTGTATGGCCTTCCTCACTTCTGATCACTGTCATTGTGGGCAAGGGTTAATGGCTTCTTCAAAAAGTCATACCAGTCTTCATACACTTGGGTCTACTCTAACATATATGCTAGTGGGAATTTTCGATGAATGCCCTTGCAATGGCCAAGGGCAGGAGTTTAGGAGGCAAAAGAAAGATGGTCATTAAGAGGCCAGTCATACATTCATTGCCCCTACCTGGGGTAAGTTGATGTCCCAAACTCATCTTACTTTCTGAGGATTTTCCCCCTTTATTCTCCTTTGCTCTGTGTCTTTGGGCATCAGCCCCCCTCCTCTCTGGCTCCTTTGAAAATGAAACAAGATGCATTAAAAGGCCCTTTCTTTTTGCCCCAGAAAGCCGAGTGGTTCAGTGAGGTTTTCTCAGAGTACTCTTCCACAGCTGTAACCCAAAGTGCAGAGTCACCCGGATATTTCCCCAAGCCTAGGAAGGAGTGAGCAGAATGTGAGCTCACTAGGAAGATTCTGGCCAAGTTGGGGAGTGCATCTCCTTTTAGGGAGTGTTGTGAATTAGATCCATTTCTGCACCCTGCTGTTGCAATGGAGCAGACTGTGAAAGGGAAGATTCTCAGAGGAGCTGTGTTTTAATGTAGCAATTTGATTCAATTTTCCACTCTATAAAATTACCCATCACTGCTCGTTGCTTTCTAACAGACACCTTCACTCTTAATTTAACAATCCTATCGAATTCTGCCAGGGAAATTGGAAAAATTTATCACCTGTGAAATTTTATTTTCCTTTGGTTGTATCTGTTTTTGTAAAACTTCATTAACGACGATGACTTGCTGAGGAAATTATCATTTTTTTTTAACGTCAGACACAAGAAATGGCTCGACCTCAACCAAGATATCATTTGCATAATAAAACACAACAAAAAGGCTAGGGAAGTAGGGACTGGCAGAGGCTGGATGTGCTAGGAGAAGAAGCAGGCTCTCCTTGGTGGGTGGGTGAGGTCCCCAGCAGGGAGGGTATATGTGGGCAAAGTCTGTTTCTTGGCTCAGGGAGCAATGACATGGCCTCTTCCCCAGGAAAGAGATGAATGCAGTGTTGTGAGGGTTGGACCCTCTTCTTAGGAAGCTTGAAATGCAAGTTGCTTACTGAATGTGCTTTTAGCAAACAGCCCTAAATTCAGGAGCATGGGTGTTAGATTCACCTTAGTTCTAAGGTTCATTTGGGATTGAGGTTTAAATTGCTATAAATTTAGGCTTAACTTGAATTTCTCAGCAGAGCACTGAACTCCTGGCAAATTTCCACAGGAACGATCTTTCTGAATGGACTTGAAGATTCAGCGTTCCTGTGGTCTAACTACCTCACAATTAAAATGCTCAGGCTTTGGTTTTTCATCGTCTGCCCCTACTGTGCTCTGCACTGTTCACCAGCTGCTGTTATCCCCACTACAAGTAGCTATGTGGGAGCAGTGATGACTATACAGTTTTTGAGATGCTGGTTATCATGCCTTTGGAAAAAAAGAAATATAGAGAGTAGACCTGCTGTAATAATGGGCAGATGAAATATGTTAAGCTTATTTTTAAGGGAAGTGATTTAACTCGTGGCGTATCTGAACAAGGTCATAACGATTTGTGCTCTATCAAGGTTTTACTGGATTACTAAAAAGGCTTGTCAGCTTTTATATACTTTAGATTTTTGAAATCCTTAATTGTGAGGCAACTTTCCATTATTCTCACAATTACACAGTAAAGTAGTTGAAACTAGAGAGTTTTGATCATACACCCCTAAATTCACAATAAACCAATGAAAAGCAACATGAGTATTCTTGACTCTTTAAAACTATTGACACATGTAATAAGTTAACTTCACATGGGTACATGTTAAGATACTCCCTGGTCAGATTTATTTATTTATTAATTTATTTATTATTTTTTTTTTGCTGGAACTGGGTTTGAATCCACCATCTCTGGTGTATGGGGCTGGTGCCCCACTCCTCGAGCCACAGGCGCCGCCCAGATTTTTTTTTTTTTTGAGACAGAGTTTCACTATGTTGCCCTCTGTAGAGTTCTGTGATATCACAGCTCACAGCAACCTCAAACTTTTGGGCTTAAGCTATTCTTCTGCCTCAGCCTTCTGAGTAGCTGGGTCTCCTGCCACAATGCCTGACTATTTTTTGGCTGTAGTTGTCATTGCTGTTTAGCAGGCCCAGGGTGGGCTCGAACCTGCCACCTCTGGTGTATGTGGCTGGTGCCTCAGCAGCTTGAGCTACAGGCGCGGAGCCCAAATTTTTTTTTTTTTTTTTTGGAGACAGTACCCTGGGTAAAGTGATGTGCAACCTTAAACTCTTGGGCTCTTGGGTTCAAGCAATCCTCTTGTCTCAGCCTCCCAAGAAGCTGGGACTACAGGTGTCCCCACAATGCTCAGCTACTTTTTAGAGACAGGGTCTTAGTTTTGCTTAAGCTGGTCCCAAATTTTTGAGCTCAAATCTGCCTCAGCCTCCCAGAGTGCTAGGATTATAGGGTGAGTCACTGTGCTGGCTTCCTGATCAAATTCTTCTTGCTCCCAGAGCAAGGCAGGACCTTTATACTGGCTTACCTATATCCTCTCTTTCAGAGGATGAAGGTTTCAAAGTTAAATTCTTCCGTGAGGTCTAGAGTTTATGAACCTAGTGGAAGATAATTAGAGGACAAAATTTCTCACCTGGTAAGACTTCATAAATTTCTTCTTCTTTCTCCTCTGTAGGCTCTATTATCCCCATGCTCCCAGGCAAGACAATGGGTCTGCACTGGGAGCCAGAATTCCCAGAGTCAAAACCATCAATATCATCATAGGTCTCTTCTTCTTCTGCTATTTCTTCTTTTTCTTCTTCTACCTCCTCCTCCTCCTCCTCCTCTTCGTATGGAATGGTTAAGGAACTCAGATCTGCCAGGGCAAAGATGAGAATGAATAAAGATATGGAGAAAAAGAAAAGAGTAAGGCAGAGAAGGAAAGCGGGAAAAGGAAGAGGGGTGAATGAAAATAAAAGATGTCAAAAGAAAATGAAACACTAGGTTAAGTGCTGTTATTTCTAATGTGGGCTTTGGTGGCAGGAAATCTACTGAAAAGGCCAGAGTAGCACTGCATCGGGTGCTAAACCATCAACATAAATCCTTCCTTGCAATAAAACTTGATCAGGATGAAGCAGGCCTGAAAAGTATGGGTGTGCATGAGACGAAAGGAAGAAAACAGGCCAGAAAAGGAAAAGCCAGCATGCTGTGCAGCGTTCATCAAGTAGAAAACTGGAAAGATGAGTGAAGGCCTGCAGGTCTCCAAGGTACACAGAGCTGTGGGAACTATGGTCGCTTCTGCAGGATGTGAGCTGCTGGAACCCCATCTGCCCAATAATCTCACTGAAGAATTTCAGACAAGTTTGTTTTCAGAGAGAAAAATGGGCAAATGTGGAAGAGGAAAAGATATGGGGTAGGAAAAAATATAACAGTAATATAGGAACAAATGGAATGACTGATCAATGCAGTTACCATGTCTTTTTGCAACTGTATAGTCTGGCTGACCTTAAAGTAGGTCACCGCATAGAGGATGTTGAACCATTATAGCACTGAGGAGCAGCATCAGTGCAGGGGAGGGAGATTGGATTTTTATTTTAATGGGGAACTGGGAAGGTTCATTCTCTGATGGGTAGTAGAGAGTGTTCTCTGAAACCTTGCTGAGGGGCCTCTGCAGGATGGGCAAGTGCAGTCAGCATACTCTAGGGGAGGAAAGGATGGAGAGACATCCAACGTTCATTTCAAAACACAATAAAACTGTTTGGCTTGATTAGGCTTTTAATAAAGATTCTGCAACAATTTTCATCTGAATTCTGGTGCCACCACATATGAAGAAAGGATCAAAGGCACATTTGTGGCTTAAACCATATGTTATTATTTTGTTTGTTTTAAAATAAAATGGAATGAATAATTTCTTCAATGTGGGATTCTGAAAGTACCACAGGGTACAGCTCAATAAAGCTGCTTTGAGTTTTATTGAGGTTTACACACTTAGGGGTATATTACACGCATAAATCCAAGGCACCTAGATGAGAGTGTACCCTGTAGTCTTGCCATCAATGTTCATGTTTGCCTAGTTCCAGTCTATTATATGTGACGCTGTTGGTAGATGCAATAGTTTGTTTTTGTGATAGCAAAGGCGCAACTGAACAAAACAAGCAATTCTTGTAATTAAAGCTCTGGTGCTTCCTTCTTTTTATCCACAATAAAATCTTATAGCAGAATAAAAATCTGAGATGAAAAGACTTTATGTGGTGCTTCCTAGGTCTTGGGCCAGTATAGAGTTGATCTTTCTGCCTTTCTGTAGAGGCAGGGTCCTGCCATGATATGGTATATGAGGGTTATTTGATGCCAAGTGACACACTCAAGGTTGGCTACTTCTGCTTGCCAGACCACTCCCAGACAAGGCTTCCTGGGCCACTATTCCTGCTTTGTCTGCAGGCTGGCCAGCAGAGGGTACTCTAAGAGCAGTCATTTAATATGTGCAGGCAGGACTGTGCCCATCCCAAAGCAAGGAGTATTTTATTATAGTTTGAAAAATAGCAATTTGTTTTTAAAGTCCAATGTTCTAAAGGCCACCTAGATTAGTCTAGATTTCTACTTCCTCCTAAGTCTACTTTCCTCCCAAGACTAAAACAAGAAGATTTTGAACCTCAGTTTTGCAACTAGATGACTTTAAGTTGGATATCATGAATTTCCTTTCCAGAATATAAGGGGTTAGGAGACACTGAATTAGGCTGAGCTGATTTTTAGAACCTTCTTTTCTAGTGGTAATGAATATTACAGACTTGCCTGTAGGTAGGTAGTTAAGCTATGATATCAGAGGTTATCCCCAGGTTGATGACATCTTTACCTTTTATTACATATGTGGTACTATTTTGATAATATGGGGGATATGATAGGGAAGGCAGAGGTGAGGAAGGACAGAAAAAAATACATACTGAAGCCTGTAGATTACATTTATGTAACATAACTTCAACTGCAATCCATTCAAGTATTTTTTCTGCAAACATGACACTTACCCTTTAACAAGAAACTTATTTGATCCACCCAGTCTCTGGCCTCGGCTGGACTAGTAGCTGTAAACTAGAGAAAAATTAGTGAATTAATTTATCACTTTCACTGAAATTTCAATGAATCCTGATAGGGAGGCTCAAGGCAAGGACGCTGTGTTTTCATAGTCAAGTTTAAAGCTCAAGATTCTCTGCTTGCTTAACATTTAGAAAAAAGATTAAAAAGTTCAGTCAAACTGATTTTTTTCCTTCAGCAATTTTGCATGCCCACAGATGACAGCCCTTTGAATCTAGACATTTATATCCATGTGCATTCATTCATTTGATTACCTATTCCTTCATCAGGCATTTATTTGAGGAAAGTTTATAAGGGAACAAAAAATAAATAAAGAAAGCAAACCACTATACACATATGAAATGGGAACCTTACAATGAGATGCATTTGATAACAACTGGATGTTGAGAGGAGACAGGGAGCACTTACTGCTGCTGAGAGTAGGCCAGGAGGCTTGTGAAGCAATTCCGTTTTGGTCGGATTTTAGGAAAGAGCTGGTGGAAACTGGTACAGGGAGTTGGACATTTCAGATAGGGAGAAGCATGTGCAAAATAACAGGAATGAGAACACGATGTATGAGGAAGAGAGACAGATCAGCTTCTGGAAAACAACAGCACATAAAGCTGGAGAGCTGAGGGTTAGAACAGAGTTGATAAAAGAGCTCTGAGTACCAAGAGTTCAGGATTAAAATGTAGGCAATAGGAAGCCGCCATCAATTCTAGCAAAGGGAGTGGAGGATTCTTTCATTGGCAGTGAGTCAGAAGGACTGGAATAGGGAAATTGGGAGATAGAAGACCAACTGGAAAGCTGTTTAACTATCATAGACCTCTGGGTAAAGTGCTAGGGACTTAACTCTTATGATGGCTGTGGAAATAAGAATGGAAAGATCCAAAGAATACTTTAGAGGAAGAATCACAGATCATGGTAATGATTTGGATTCAAGGGGCTTTCCTCCAAAAGTAAATAAAATACATTCTGATTTACAAAACAAGTCAGTCAAGCATCAGCCCTTCATAATTATTTTTAAAGTTTTAAATGAATCAACTTGAAATAATGGCTCTTAAAAATATTTTAATTATCTGGTCATTAGGATAAGATAAAGATATATGCCATTTAAGGAAGCTAGATTCCTGCATAATACTTATTAATATACCTTGTTATTCTTGGTTTCTTAAAAACAAATTTCTATGAAAACATTTCTAGGGATATTGGCTTAGATTTGTTATGTAAACTTTTATCTGGACGTGGTACTATCATAATTTAATAATAAAAATAAAAAGGAACATATTCAGTGCATACATCTGTATTATATGTTTATGAAGAACTCCATGGAAAAGTTTTAGTTTAAATTTAAAAATTGCATAATGAAGACCTAAGCTCTTTTATGAAAATAAGGGTTAAGGTACTGTAGATATAAGAAAAGATGAATGTGGAGAAAAATTTGAAGAGTCAAAGGGTTATTCAGGTGGTTAATTTCAATATTAGCATGGCTTTTCTCTTTTTTATAAGTCAGCTAACGTTTTTCTAAATTGCTTTAGCAAAACTGTGATAAGATAAAAATTACCAACAAGCAGGAAACAATATACACACACACATAAACATATATTTTTGGCAAAAATCTTACCCTGACCAGGTCCTCTGGTCCCTCAGTTATTATTGTTACTACTCAGTAACCATTATTGCCAATATCTTAGAAAGCGAAGCATATTTCTGGAAGGTTATTTTGGATAACAAGATGAATGTAGGAGAATGAATTATTTTTTACTCTACAGTTAGATTTTCCTTTTTTTTGGAATTTGTAGAAGGAAGTGAAGATAATCAGTTGAAAAATAAAGAGAACGAGAGCCAAAAAAAAGTAGAGACTAATAAGTAAGGGAATTGGATTGTGTGCTACAATAGGCAAGAATCTCACCTATGAAGTGAGATTAAGAAGGGGAGGGATGAAGAGATGGAAGCCAAGCAAAGGCAGTATCTGGAATGAGAGCGGTGACAGAGAGAAGGGAGGGCGTGACATAGCAAAGGTGAGGACAGGTCAAGAGAGAGGGTCTTGGTTGGTAGGAAATTAGCAGGTAACAGAGAAAGGCCGGAACCCAGCATAGCAACCATGACTCACATGCAATATGGAAGGAAACCGTAACACCAGTGAGGATCACCATCTCCTCCGTTAGTCCTACCTCATAGCTGCGCCTATCCTGGGCGGTCAGTTCAAAGCAGAATTCTTTCTTGGAATCTCTTCGCAGGTGGGGGGCCATCCGTACACTGTAGCCCTTAATGAGGAAGGTCCCTTTGGGCTGCTTGCCTGCAAGACAGGAAACCTCCCTGTATCCCTGGAGAGATACAACTGCCAAGGGAAGGCATCTTCTCTGGCATGTAAAATAAAAGCACAGCAACAGCTGTTACATCCCTGAGGAACCACAATAGTCAAGGAAAGGTTATTAGGGAAGCTTAAGAAGAGGTTACTGCAACAGCGAGGCAGATATCACAGCCAAGCTAGGGAAATGCAACATGAAAGGTTATTTTGCCAAAAGAGTACAACAGAGACAGAGAATTTATTAGAATGTTAAGAGATCTATAATAACAGAAAGAAGGAATTATTACAGCGGGGAAAGTGTGGCTGTAAACGGGAGGCTCTTGAAGGCTATTACAGAGCTGAAACATTATTATCAGGGCCAGCAGAGCCCCTATTCGAGGGGAGGGACAGCAGTGTGGGGGGCATAAGGGAGGTGGGGAGAATTATAAGGTCCTGGAATTGCCTCCCATGCCCTGAGTAGCATTTGGGCTAAACTGTTCTCCCTGTCCCCTGCTGGTCAGGTGGGAATTTATGCTAGAGGGAGAATAATTATAACTCAGTATTTTATCCCCCTTCCAAGAGGTCAAATTGGGAAGTAGCAGAGTATTATTGAGTATTATTAGACAATGATGCAAGAGATAAAAGGAAAATGGCTCTCTAGGTAAAGGGAAGAAGAGACTATTCTGCCTGTCACTCCTTTTTTTTAAAAATAAAATATTTGGAAATAGGAAAAGAGGAGGTGGTTTTCAAGGATTTTGTGCCCTCATTGTGTGCTTCAGGGAGAACACAGAGAGTTACAGGAGCTACAATGCCTGGGGGATGCTTTGTGGCCTACATGCAAAATGAATTGCTTAATAAATACTTTTTTTTTTGGCCAGGGCTGGGTTTGAACCTGCTACCTCTGGTATATGGGGCTGGCACTCTACTCCTTTGAGCCACAGGCACTGTCCTTAATAAATACTTTTTGATGAGGATGATGATGAAAAGGATGGCAGTGGGATGGTAAGATTAAAAAGAAAAAATAATAATAAGAAGAAAAAGGACTCTGTCCTCACCTGGTTGAGCTACAATAAACACACAAACACTGTACTTACTAAGAAAATGTCCTGGGCATAATAAGAAATAACTGGTGAGAAGGGAGCCATGTAACAGTGCTTTTTGACATGAGAATCTTTTTTGTTAAAGTATCTCTCCTTGTTCTAACTGGCCACTAAAATGTTTTGTTGTTTCTTTGGTCACCAGATTTTATTTCACCCTGATGGCAAAATGGTCAATAAAAGTCTCTGCGTTTCTTGCTATTGTGCTCCCCTCCTCTCTCATCGTGAGTGTAAAGGATTCTGAATGAACAGACATGATTCCTGGTTTTATCTCTAGATATGCCAACCACATATTAAAATGCAAAGGAAATGATGAGCATTTTTACAATGACAGAGATGTCATATTAGTTTGAAAGCTTAAAATAAGAAAAAAACATCTGGCTCGCTTGTACGCTTTGATTCAGAGGACAAATTGTGGCTGCTGGATTTGAGTGGGATTGGGGTTGGAAGCACACAGGGGACTTGTTGCTAAGTTTTTGAACTATGCTGCTACCATTTCTAAGTAGGGCTTCACACTTTGCCCCTAGATAGGAGAGATTCTGAGGAATCTGAGATGGTGAATGGAAGATGAAGGTCTTGATAACTGCTGTAGGCAGAGAGGGAGGGTAAGGTGCTGCCACAAAGGCCAAAGGGCAAATCTTTTTTTTGATTTCAAATTAATATGAGGGTACAATGGAGTTGAAATACATTCTTCAGTCATTCTACAGTAAAGTATCACAGAATGGAACAGCAAATATCCAATGTACTCAATACTAATATGAAGCCAGTAGATGATCTAAATTTATGCCCATATAGAAAAAAAACTCATTTCAATGCAAGTTGAGGGGAAGGGGAAGGAGAGAGGGGGTTAGGGGAAGTGGGGTTTGGGATGCTCCCACTGAATGGGCACAATGTAGGAGTATATGGCACACCTTTTGGGTGCAGTACATAGCTGTAAGAGGGATTCTTCCTAATGAACCAAATGTTGTGATTTGGTTGTGCCCTCACATTAACATGAAATAAAAAAAGATGAAACAATAAAAAGAATAAGAAACTAATTCAATATTAAAAAATAATGATACAAGGTACTAATGATTAGGTTACAATGTTTATGTTTTTTAGATAAGGCACCTATGGTGGTTGTGTCCTGCCCTTAGGAGGTGTACCCTTATATTGTGGCCATCAGGTGGGAGCACACAGATTTTCCTCCCTCCTCCCCTCCAAGGGCAGATCTTAAAGATTACAAGTCACTTAGCAAAGCTGCAGTTCTTTGTGCTCCCTTAATGCCAAAGGAGCAAGAAGTCCAAAGGCGATTGGGTGGGTGTCTGATTATTCCCGAAACTGGATATACAGGCTTTGGGAGAGGGCTAAGTTTAGGAAAGGAAGGAGGAGAAACAGAAAATAACTGAAAGGAAAAAGAAGAGTTTGCTCAGTCTGTATCACCTGCCTCTGTACTAAGGTGGTAGAGAATAAGGAAAGCCCACACAAGAATTGATACTCTATTTACTTTGTCTCCCTCTTGCTACTTAGGATTACTCCACCTCTGCAGAAGGGTATTCCCTTTTTGAAAGTCTATATTCATCTGCAATAATAATTTTTAGCTTGCACTTATTTGTAGTTCACTCCCATTGTGCTGCTGCTGCTTCTTTTTTTTTTTCCTTTTCAGACAGTCTCCGTATGTCGCCCTCGGTAGAGTGCCATAGTGTCACAGCTCACAGCAACCTCAAACTCTTGGGCTTAAGTGATTCTCTTGCCTCAGCTTCCCAAGTAGCTGGGACTACAGGCACCTGCTGCAATTCCCGGCTATAGTTGTGCTTCTATCCTTCTCTTCTATTCCTTCTCATGAACTCAGTCATGGTGTTAAACATGACTGGTACATCTTCTAGGGATAGCTCCTGAGTGTTAACCGGACTGAATGCGTGGTGGCTCATTCGGAATCTGTCTTTGGCTTTAGTCAACATTTTAGTGCTGCCTCATGTGTCTGAGTGGTGTCTCTTGGGGACAGCAACCATATAGGTCTCAATACTCCATGGCTCTAGGAATGTCCACTGGACTACTTCCCAGTAGTCAGTAGGGTACAGTTTGGAGCATGCTCTAGAGAGTCTGAACTCTAGGGTTCTATTTCTGGGCCATTGGTAAGCTTTTTAAATTTCTCAGAATTAAAATTTTTTTTTTTTTTGAGGCAGAGTCTTACTATGTCGTCCTCAGTAGAGTGCTGTGGCATCACAGCTCACAGCAACCTCTGACTCTTGTGCTTAAGTGATTCTCTTGCCTCAGCCTCCCAAGTAGCTGGGACTATAGGCACCCACCACAATGCCTGGCTATTTTTTGTTGCATTTGTCATTGTTGTTTAGTTGGCCTGGGCCAGGTTCGAACCTGCCAGCCTGGGTGTACGTGGCTGGTGCCCTACCCACTGAGCTATGGGTGCTACCTCAGAATTATTTTTTTTCAATATTTTTTTTTTTTTTTTTTTTTTTTTTTTGAGACAGAGCCTCAAGCTTTCCCCCTGGGTAGAGTGCCATGGCATTACAGCTCACAGCAACCTCCAACTCCTGGGCTCAAGCGAGTCTCTTGCCTCCGCCTCCCAAGTAGCTGGGACCACAGGCGCCCGCCACAACGCCTGGCTATTTTTTGGTTGCAGCCGTCATTGTTGTTTGGCGGGTCTGGGCTGGGGATCCGAACCCGCCACCTTAGGTGTACGTGGCTGGCGCCTTAGCCGGTTGAGCTATAGGCGCCGAGCCATCAATATTTTAGCTATGTTATTAATGCTTAGAAAGAGGTGGAAGTTTTTTTTTTTAAGTGCCAAAATAATTCAAATTTGACAATGCTGTGTGATTAACTGTAGTAAAAAATAACTCTCTGATATGTTGACTGTGTCTTAATGTTTACAAGGGGAAATGATTTCTCAATTGGCTTTTGTGTTTTTGGTGGCGGGCAAGGTCTTATTTCACTAAGCCTGTTTCTTTCCTAAGCATGTCCCTTTATGGGTGTTAGTTAAGGACTGCTATCTTGAGATTTAAATGCTTGAGAATTTACGAAGTGCTTGCATCCAGGAGTGAGATGCTGCTGTGCAAATGAGGAACACTTACTCTTCTCATTAGCATAGTAGTAGAAGAGGCCTCTGCTGACAACACACCATCGCTTCTGCCACTCTGATCCAAAGAAACTATGATCTAAACAGAACAGCAGTAGAGGACATAAATTCAGGTAACTACAATCACTGAAGAGTCCGTAAAATCCAACAACATAGTCCAGTGTGTTATTGTTTTATTTCCCAGGTTAATGGACTGTAAAACCCTCCCTTTCACTCCCACAGGTTATCCCATATTGACTCAGGGTCTGGCGGACTAGCTCAGTTAAAGGCCCAAGTTCTAAACAGGGTTGCCTGCTCTGTGCCCTCATGGCTGTATTTTTATCTAGCATCCTGTACTTTTTAAATTCCCCATGATATCTTTATGTGTTACCTTCAACAAACCAAAATGATTCTCCAGGCCACGGGTATAAGAAAGGCTTTTTTTGTCTTAAGCCAATTTGCAGGCTGAGACTCCAACCCTATTAGTACCTATTCTAATTGAATGAGTTAAAGGTCAAGAGTTGGGCTTGTCTGAAATTTGAAAGTAGGCTGTTTGACACATGATATAAATACTACACTCCTGGCAAAACAGTTTTACTCCTGATGGAGACACACTGAGAGACAAGAACAAGAATATCATCCATTTATTTATTTAACAAATTTTATTATGCATCTGTTATGTACCAGGCCTTGGGGACACTGCTGAGCAAGGCAGAATAGATCCTATCCCGATGAAGCTCAGTCTGCTAAAGATTTGGGCCATTTTTTCTTCAGCTAACACACAAACACCAGCCTTCTTTTCTTTCCTTGCTTTCCTTTTGCTTACTACTCTCTACTGGGTAGAAAGAAAGCTTCTGATAGGACGGCCCTCTTTTTCCTCATTTCTATTCCTTTCCTGGAATGTTCTGTGATCTGTGGGTCTGATCATTACCTTTGCTTTTCTTCTCCAAGTATCCCTGTTTGATGATGTTATCAAGCTCTTGAGCTCCTCTTATGATGTCTTCTGTTTCTAAAAGGAACAACAGCAGAATGCTTTGTTGAAACTTGACAAAAATTTTATTTATTTCAGCCACTTTAGATAATCTACATTAATGATGGAGGTACAGAAGGGGAACTGCTTAAACACAGTGCAAAATAAAACAATATCTATATGATTGGGGGAAAAAGTTACTTTTCCTTCTTCCTAATTATATGCAATGCTAAAGTCATGAAGAATTATCTAAGCACACATTAGTTTATAGTAAGGAAAGGTAGTCTAAGTATGTACTGATTGGCATGTAAAGGACTCCAGAGAATTAAGAATATGCTGTTCTTAACTTGGATATAAGCCCCAAATTGGATATCCACATTGAGATAATCAAAGGACAAATGAATAGCTACTAGCACAGACGAGCTTTAATGAGTGACAGTCTCCACCATAAACACAGTCACCTCAGAGGGAGCCATAAACACACACTCAGTTTTCTTTTTTAAACAAACAGAAAGCTACCTTTGTGAACATAAATTTTATTAAGTTCATACCAAGAAGGGTTATACAAGCTGAACTTGGCAATAACTGCCCAATTCTGTTTTTTTCAAAGTATAGGAAGAGTCTTTGTGCAAACCTTAACAAAGAGAAGACCCTGGAACTGACATCAGCCTCTAATTGTATGTTGCTAACATTCTTAGCTTTCAATTAGCCTCATTAGGTACAAATTTATTGAGAAGCAAGATCCTAATCCATCTTCCTCCACTGGGGTTTATCCTTACTTTACACAAGGGAAGGACAAAGGATAGAGATAAGGAAGAAGAACTTTATTCCTCAAAAAATAAAGTGAAAGGCTCGGTGCCTGTGGCTCAAGCGGCTAAGGCCCCAGCCACATACACCTAAGGTGGCGGGTTCGAATCCCCAGCCCGGACCCGCCAAACAACAATGATGGCTGCAACCAAAAAAATGGCTGGGCGTTGTGGCGGGCGCCTGTAGTCCCAGCTACTTGGGAGGCTGAGGCAGGAGACTCCTTGAGTCCAGGAGTTGGAGGTTGCTGTGAGCTGTGATGCCATAGCACTCTACCCAGGGGGATAGCTTGAGGCTCTGTCTCAAAAAAAAAAAAAAAAAGTGAAAAACAAAACCTCTTTGCCCAACATTTTCTAGTTGGGCAAAATGAAGAGCCAGCATAATCTTAATATTTATTCTTTTTTTGTCCCTAAACTCAAATCTCTTTTGATTGTCTTCACAAATTTACAAAGCAAACCAAATACAAAACAAAGTAAGACGCACAACCACATCTGAATCGACTGGGCTGCTTACACAGTATCTTAAGACTTTGGGGTGAAGTAATTTTTTCTTTTTTCTTTTTTTTTTTTGAGACAGAGTCTCACTCTGTCCCCTGGGTAGAGTGCCATGGCATCATCATAGCTCACAGCAACCTCAAACTCCTGAGCTCAAGGGATCCTCCAGGTTCAGCCTCCAAAGTAGCTAGGACTACTGGTGCCTGCCACCACACCTGGCTAGTTTTTCTTTTTCTTTATTTTTCAGTAGAGCAGGGTCTTCTCTTGCTTGGGCTGGTTTCAAACTCCCGAGCTCAAGCAATCCACCCACCTTGGCATCCCAGAGTGCTGGGATTAGAGGCATGAGCCATCATCTGGCCTAAAGTAATTTTTTTCAAATGATTCCTCTTTGAACATTTTCTGCAATAACATTTACTTAGTAATGGCTAGGAGCTGGCATTTTGTTCAGTGCTTTACCTACTTTGCATTTAAAAATAACATTTTAAGACAATTTAAAATGCAATTAAAATTATCTTTTGCTTTTAAACTGTTTAAAGTTTAATTTTAAAAATGTAGATCAGAAGGACCTTTTCCTTTTTTAGTGCTATATGCCTGAAATTTTTTTTTTTTTTGCAGTTTTTGGCCGGGGTTGTGTTTGAACCTGCCACTTCTGGCATATGGAGTCAGTGCTCTACTCCTTTGCGCCACAGGCTCCGCCCCTATGTGTCTGATTCTTTATCCCATTGGTACTTTTTGTCAACTTCCTTGTTCATGGACTATTTTCATTTGTGTATTTTACAGTTAGAAAACTATGTGGCTGCCCTAAGTCCTTCAGGGTGCGTGCATGAGATGAAGAGTTGCACAGGAAAGTTCATTTTTTCTGGGATTCTTTCATTTTTCCTATCCCTTGAAAAATTCTATTATCCCTCTGAAAAACTGCAAGAAAACAATAGCAGATTCCGTTGAGTGGGGGTGAGGACCATGTATGGTAGGAAAGGTACTCTGAAGGGAAAGCCCATTCTCTCTTAAGTGCTATCAAAATATTGCTCCTGAAGGCCTAACAATTAAATGAAAGACACAGGAATAAGGAAAACAGGACCTTCTAAGCTTGGAGTTCTCATCTCTTCTTTCCACCATTTTTTTTTTTTTTTTCCTATTCTTTTTTAAAGGTCTTGTTAAACTTAGAGACACAGCTTCTTGTTAAAGATGCCAAAAGTCTGAATCATAAAAGACATGTTAAACGTTCTATTAGAATTCAAACCTCCTTTTTTAATGCAAATCTAAATGCCATTTTATGGAACATCTATAATTATGAAAATGGGAAGACATTGCCTCTTGTGTGCGGGGAGAGTCTGTGAGTATGAATATTACATTAATGTGCCCATACCAGCTCACTGATCCTGCTGGCAGGAGCATAAAAAATGCTTGAGTGAAACTTTTATTTAGATGTTAAGACTCCAGGCCCCAGCGGGGTGACAGAGACAGCCCCAGTGAGTTGCCATCAGAGAGAGAGCTTGAATTGAATTACCCAGGGGGGAGGAAGTAGTGATGAGCGCTGCTTCGCTTATTTAATTTCATTTACTTTCAGTACATTATCAGCATGAGGCTTTTCTCTCCCCACCAACTGAAACCTAAGAATGCCACCACCAAGAAAACAAAGACATAATGCAGCAGGGATGTTCGAACTCAAAGTCACTAATTCCAGGGACAGTACAAGCACCACCTTCTCTCCTCAAGAGTCAGACTCAGTTTGCTAAAATTGGGCACTGAACGAGTTGCTGAATTTTCTCTCTTGGTCATGCACTAACACGATTGTGGAGAGTAATATAGCTGGAAATACAGTTTTTTATATGCTGTGTTTTCTTTTTTTTTTTTTTTTTTTTTTTTTGAGACAGAGCCT